AGTAAAAACCATGTACAAAAGTAAATCTCAAATCCTCGCCCATTCTTGAAATGCTCCATGGAAAACACACCGGGCAGGTAAGGCAGCCTGTGGCCCTGAGAGAAATGGACACTGTGTATTTTCCAGGGCTGAGTGCTGGGGAAAATGCTGCAGAAGACATCCCCAGTGAGGGAAAGGAAAAGAAGAGACTTCAACTTTCCCCCTGTGTACAGCAAGAATGAACAAGAGTGCCCTTGAGGGAAATGCAAGCAGCAGCTTCATCACCCAGAGGCTGTGAGGGCTCCCAAGCAACAGAAATGAAAGTGCAAAAGCAACAAGGTGAAAAAACAGAGAAATTTAAAAGGTTTTCAGCGGAAAATGCTTGGATGACCATCACCCCTATCCCACATCAAGCCTAGGGAAAGCAGCCTCTAGGATATCATCTTTATTCATGAAGAACCCTGAGTGTTCTCTTGGGATTTCATGAGTTAACTCCCTCAAGAGGAATTTTTCAATTAATTAAGCCAGAGAATAAACATCAGATTCATCTTCACGTTGAAAGCTTTTGCTGGGAACAGCAAGGTGAGCCTCAAGCCCATTAGTCTGCAGGATTTCCTTCCAGATGCCTTTCACAGAGGGCTCCTGAAGACCTCCACCAGCAGCTCCCACTACTATTTCAACTAAATGAAAATAAATGGGAGGTGAGAAACTGAGATGAAAGAAAATGTCGGTGTTTTTACACACAAGGTACCATGCTCTGGATCAGCGGTGTTGCTTCAGCATTGGGCCAGATCTGCCAAAGATGAGTAAGAATTTAATACTCATTAACAAGAACACAGCTCACACACCAAGGATTGAACTGTTCATGCAAGTCAGGCATTTGGCTACACCTGCACATTTGTAGGCATCCTGCACATCAAACCATTGTGCAAAGCTGGTCCTGAGGGGCCACGTTTGCAGTGCAAAAGGGAAAGGAAGCAGTTTTATGTCCTGAAAATCCACCACAGGAAAAACACCAGCTCATTTAGAGCCAAGCTTCACACTGAAAGACCAGCAGCCTGTTGCCAAGGGCTGAAGCATCTTGTGTGCTTTGTGTATCAACACCTTTACTCTGGAGGTGGAAGAGCCTAGCAAGCACAAGTTAATAGGTTCAGAGGCCAGAAAATGCAGCAGCTTTGGCAGACCCCACTGCAATTACCAGAAAACTCAAGAGGTGCTTCTCAAAACACCCCAAAAGTTATCAATCTACTCCCTTGCTGAGACACATCCCAGTGAGTACAAAACCCACCTTGGTGCTGGCCCTGGAGCGTGGCTCACAATGCCTTTCATTTCCTTTCCATCTCTGTGAATACAACATTCTCTTTTCCTCCTTCTAAGCCCAAAGGGAGCTGCATTTCAAGGAGCTCTGGGGGTCTCCCAAGGAGGAGACTTCTCCTCTCTCCTCAGCAGAAGTGAATGGATGTCAGCGTTTCTGTCAGGCACTGCCCAACTAAACACCTCTGGGTATCAACCAAAACTCTCTGCAAAGCTTCAGTCTGAAATCCTGCTGTTCCCTGGTGTCACCAGGGCCAGCAGAGGAGGCAGGGGGAGATGGGGGCTGCTGCCCAGCCACCCTCCCACTGCAGGAATTAACCGTGAGCAAGCACTGGCACGAAGCTCCTGCTCTTGCATGACTGTGAGCATTCCTCCCCCAGAGTTTATCACACAGCACCAACTACCCATAAACATCCCAAGGAAGGGCTGGCCTGGGTTCACCTTCATGCAAGGAAGATGTCAGGCTCTGGCAGGGAGCCAGCCATTCATGTTTCCTTAAACCCTGTCAGCTCTGACTCAAACGACCTTTTTGGGGGGGGAAAATAAAAAATCTTCCATCACACCCCTTCCTCCCCCTCCACCCACTGTGGCACTTAATCACAGCAGGATCACAGGGGACAATTCCCATGGTGGCAGTGAGTCATGGTGTCCTGTCCCTCTGCAGCAGGGCACGTTCCCATTTCCAGCTGGCCTGGATGCTCCAGGCAGGAGAGGAAAGAGCCTGGAGCTGAGCAGCTGAGGTTTAAGAGCCTCCACCACAACGTGGACCTCTGCCCTCCATGCCAGGTAGCACAGCCACTTTTTGGGATTTTGACAAGTCCGGTGACAGCAGTGTCCTCTCAGTTCTACTCCCCAAAACCTGAGCTTTGCTTCATATGGTGCCATGATATATTTTACACCACATTCATGCAGTGGCCCAGCCATTTATCCAAAATATGCTAAGCACAAGGCCATGATTAAAAGCAAGAAAAAAAAAAAATCTCTCTCCATACTCCTCAGCATCTCCTAAAATCCATTTAACTTTCCTCCCTGGAGCTGTCTGTCATATTTCTGGCACTCAGACCTGGGTCTGACATGGAAACCTTCAAGTGACTTTTCCTCTTCTTGCAGCCTTTCTCCCCCACCAATTCTGAAAAGAAAAATCACTCCTCCCCAAGGAGGCAGGGCCAGACAAGGTACCAGCAGGAGCAATTCCCATCCAACCCCCCAGCAGATAAGTGGACACAGCCCCTTCCCAAGCCACGGTGGGAGCCCTGATCCACCTTGCTGATGAAGCCATGAAGATTAGGCTGATGCTGGCACTGTGATGCAAGGAGAGTGTTTAATATCCTCACACCAGCTGGGTGGCCAGCCCAAGCCATTCTGCAGCTTATTTGCTGGCTGTGAATATTCCTCCTTCTCTCCTTCCCACAGGATTTTAACACCCCTGTGAGGAGAGCAAGCTCCCAGCCAGCAAAAAGCAAAGAGCAACAGGCTGCTTAATTAACTGACCCTCTCCCAATTGCCACAGCCTCGCCAAAGGCTGGAGAAACCCAATTGCAGCTGGTAATTAAGCACTTATGGCTGGAGAGGGATGGAGCCAGCAGGGAAGCACAGCAGCAGAGGAAGGGGCTGACACCACAACCCCCCGTGCCAGCCCTGGGTGCCCCCAGTGCCATCAGCACTCCAGGCACTCAGGAGCCCCCAGAGGGACAGAAGCTTTTAATGGCTGTGAGTCCCTTAAATTAAACCTTAATTGGTCCAAGAGCTCTCTGGATTGATACACAGAGCAAGGAGAGGCCTGGTTTGCCAGCCAAGAAAAAGCCCTGCTGTCAGACATGCCTAGGAGGGTGTGCAGTTCTCACTGGTATCCAAGGAATTTGGGAAGCCTGGCTGCCAGGTACACTGGCCTGATCCTGCACCTGCCCTGCTGACCACACTGGCTCCCAAGAATTTCTCTCTTCTATCCTTTCAACCAGAGTCAACTTCAAAAGGAGGAAATTGGCGATTCTCTAACATTTAACCTGTTTCTATTGCCCGACCTACCAAAACAAAGGAGTTAAAAGCAAAGAACTGACTCTCACCAGGAGCATAAACAAGTGATTACAGCAATTACATGCAATAAGGCCATGTATGAAGGGGAAGCCACTAAAACCAGCTGAGGCTTGTGTTTAGGTATTGTATTTTATTGGTATTTAGGCTTGTGCTGCTCTTGGGACCAGCTGGGTCTATCATGTATTGCAAAGGTGACAGGGAAGCAGAGGTTCTGTGAGAAAATCCATCCCAGGTGAAGTATCTGCCACCAGCACCACAGATGCAAATTCTGATACCAACCCTGCAGAAATGATGGTGCAATCCCACCTGCCTGGGTACCAAGGGCAAACAGACTCAGGAGAGAGAATGTCAACGCAGACCAGCTCAGTTTTAACAGCACTGAAGTCCTCCCAAATTATTCCAGGCTCTGGCTCCCAGCACAGCAGTTCTGAAGGCTGCAAGTCCCCAGGTGAGCCAAGCTGAGCAGCTTGCAGGCACACGGTGCAGCTGGGTTAGCTCTGGCCTGGAGCCAGAAATCTGCCAGGGAGAATGACAAAGAGGAGGAGAAACTGCTCTCCAAAAATCCCTCTGCAGAGGAGAAGTGACACAAAAGCCACATTGCAGGCTGGCCCTTGGTCACAGGGGGAGTGAGGGCAAAGCCATCCACCCAGCAGCACATCCCTGCCAGCTGGGATGTTTCTGAGAGACAAACACAGCAGATGCCACCTTGGCTGGGGAGGGCTCTGCTCCCGGAGGCTTTGCCCACACAGCTCTTGTGCAGATATTTCACTGCTGCTGCTACAGCACAGCTTGAGACAGCTGGCACTCGTGGAGAGAACAAATTTATGAAGGGTGTTTGGCAGACTCCAAATGAGCAAGGGAGGGAGTGGAGCAGAGCCAGTCCTGGGGACTGAAGTGTGTGTGTGAGGCATCTAACTGAGGGGGTGCATCATCAATACAGACTGGTCATCTCTGGATGTAAATTTGGAGTCAGGCATCTTGCGAATTGCACTGACAAATTGAGCCTTTACTATAGCAGAGAAAGGGAAAGATCCACCTGAGAAGTCACTGTAAAGTTTTGGTATCTGAAAAATCTCAAAATCCCTGCAAAACAAAGCAAACTCCCAAAGGGGCTGTGACTCAGCTCCCAAAAGGCTGCTGAGCAATCACAACAAACAGGTCTCCTGGGGGAGAGGTGAGCTCCAAAACTGCCCCATCCCACAGACTTCTCTGACTTGCCACCATCAGAGAGCAAACATCCATTGTCATCCTTTGTCTTTTATAAGAAGACCTTCAGCAAGGATTTGCTGTTTCTTAAAAAGTTGTAAACACATCAGTTAAAAGTTTTAGAGCCTTGAATTTTTCAGGGCTGTATTCTCCCATTTTGGGGTGAGGCCTTGCTGAGTGTCCACCTCTGAGAAGCAGGTACCCCCTAAAGGGAATGGCACCTACATAAGGTGACTTAACTTTTAGGGAAGATCTAAACAGCAACAACAAAGAGCACAAGTTAGTTAATGTTACAAACAGACAATAAGTTTTCCCTTCCCTGTTTTAAGCAAAGCCTCCTGCCCTGTCATTAAACGAGTGGATTTTGTCCCATGCTTCCAGCGAGGTCCACTAAAGGATTTTAGAAGCAGAAAAGCAGTTCCTCACCAGCATGGTCTATTACATAAAGAAGAAAGGATTTGTGTTACCTGTCCAAGGTCCAGGGTGACGTTGACCTGGTTGAACTCCAGCCCCCGGGAGAGAGGGGGGCTCTGCCACCAGCGCTCTGTCCCATCAATGGCATTTGTGATGGGGTGGGCCTTGTTGCTGTTTGCAGAGGAGCAGATGTCGCAGTACTGGCCCTGGCAGAAAGTACGAAAAACAACATTTAACTCTGGCCAGAAAAACGTGGTACAGAGCAGTCAGGTATCAAGCAATTCAGAAAACACAGGGTTTCAATTTAGAAAATACAGCCTGCTAATGCAAATCAAGTTACAGAAAGTTTTGTTCACACCAGTTTAAAGTGTGGGTACAAAAAGGTACATGAAAAGGCTCAAAATCCCCACAACCAGCCAGTGTAGAATCTGGGCTGCTCAGAGCAGCATCCCTTCTGAATTTCAGATACACAAAACACTGACAAAGGACCCCAGACTCCAAGGACTGGTTAGCAGAAGCAGGAGTAGCTGAGGGAGAACTGCACTGCAGTGGAGAGCAGAGGCTCAAACTCCACGGTCAGCAGCTCCTGTGCTGAGGCTGCCACTCACACCCAGCCCTGCCCTGAACCATTCAGTCATTTCTATGGACTCAGACTGGCAGCTCCTCTGCCCACCAGTCTGTTTCTTGTCCACCTATTCATTTCACAATATAGCTCTTTCAGCTACATTTTCCAGCTCAGTCTGGCAGCCAAGTTCCTTTTGCTGATGATGCTGCAATGCGAGGCCAGGAAGGGACAGCCCCAGCTGTCAGCTGGCCAGGGACTGCCACCACTTCTCTGCCTTGCTTTTGTGGCCCCGGGTGGTTTTGTCAGCTCCATGGACACGCTGCCAGAGAAAACAACCCCACAACTTTAACAGCACCTCCTGAGCAGGATCACACAAAGACCTGAGCTGTTAGGGGCAATTCTTTCTCTCTCATTAATGGACAAATCAATCTGACCCACGCTCAAAGAAACCTGCAAAGCCCCCTGAAAACTGGCAAATTGTTATGTGGAGCCACTGTTGTATCGCTTGAATTGCTGCTACAAACAGCCTGGAAGGGAGCTGTGTCAGAGGCAGCTTTCCTTTTAAAGGCACAGTTATCCCCAGGCAGGAATGCTGCCCTTGCCTGTCCCAGCTGCAGCCAGCGTTAATATTGCACCAGGTACAAGATCTCAAGACAGGCAATCCCCTTCCTGCCCCTGCCAGGGCTGAGGCAAGACAGAGCCACTGCAGAGCAGGTGAATTTCCAGATGCTCCAAACTCGAGGAATCTCAGTGCAAATGAAGCAGATTACACAGCATCATTCCCCACTACCACGTGCTTTGTTAGTTGCAGACAATTATGCAATACAAGTTATCCTGAACAAGAACACTTTTAAATTAATTCCTACAGAGATGTGAAAATAGAGATGGGCAAGCACAAGGCCAAAGAAAAGGGGAGCTGAAACCATCCAGGTAACCCTGACACACATGCAGGGAGCACTCAGTGTACAGAGGGGTCACAAGGCTGGTTTGGACATGCTTTGAGCCAGGAGGGAGAGCAGACCAGATAAAACTGACCCAACTCTTCAAGCTCAAACCTTTAATGGGAACCGGTGCAACAGGTTGTGTGGAAATTTCTGCTGCACGACACACAACACTGAGGTGGGGGGAAGTGAGGCAAGGTTACAAAAAAGGGATAAATTAAAAAAAAAAAAAAAAAAGTACTTTCATACTTTAAATTCTTGCTACAGATGCAAAAACCATTTTGAACCCAGACTTCACATTGATGGGAGACAGTCGACTCAAGCTGAGTAAGAAGGGAGTAAAAATTAGGATCAGCTGCTCCACATTCATAATGCTGCTGTTGTCCCTCCCTGGGCAGCCTGCTGGGCTGGGAACACATCAACAGCTGAACAGGTTTGCTGTTCAAAATGTGGTTAGCCTCTCTGATGCACCAGTTGCTCATTAGTGTTTCATTAGAGCCAGACCTAAACCTGACCAGAATCATTTCCAGCTCTTTGTATTTTAGAGCAGCTCGGGCTCCTGCACATTGTGTCAGGTTCTCCACAGGGAAGTTCTGACATCAGCAAGAGGATTTTAATTAAAAAGCAATAGTGAGCTGAAGGCTTAGCAGAGCCTGCAGGTTGCCAGAGCAGTGGAGGCGTGGACACTACAAAGGTATGGCCAAAGGAAGAACTTCAGCAATGCAAGGAGCGCAGGGCAGCTACGAGAACATGAAACTGCCACTATCAGAGCAAACCACAAAGAGGGAGAGATAAGGAGGGGTTTGAATGAGGGGCAGCTTCCAGAGACCTGCAAGGCCTGACCCTGCTCAGGGCACTGGGAACTTTGAAGTTTCCCCTGAGCATAAAGACCAGCTGGGCACCCTGCTGGCACCTCTCTCAGGGGACACAGGTGGCTTTGTCCCTGTTCATCTGGCCCTGCCATGACCCAACACCAGCTCCCCTCACCTGATTTATCAGAAAGCCACAGGGAGCATGGGGCTGCTGGGGATGAGGAAAAGGGCAGGAAATTGGGTGTAAAAATACTGTTTGAGACAAAGTGCCTGCTTGCAGGCTGCTCCCAGGGCTGTCCCTGCAGATCAGCTGCTCACACAGAATTAGGCAGGTGCTGTCTCACCATGTGTCTTTCCTGTGGGCAGCAACTTGTTCCAAACCTGTGTCTTCAGCCAGTTAAACCACTGAAATCCAACACTTTCATAGGTGCAAACACAGAACTGAGACACCTACAGAGAGGTACAGCACCAATGGTCACCTGGAGCACTGAGAGCCAAATTCCTTCTGCCACACACCAGACAGGACATGGGATAAAGAGGCACCAGCACAAATGGTCACTGACACTGTGCCACTTAATTCTGAGACATTCAGGGATGAAACAGCTTCAGATTCCATCTGTTATCAACACCTGGAAGAGTGAGAGGGCCAGAGCTCTGGTCAGTGCCCACACTGCTCAGGCAGGGACAGCTCAGGGCTGCAGTTCAGTGTGCAGAGCAGCGCTGTGAACACAGGCACAAGCAGCACTGCCTTGAAATCACTCAAATTTCTCGTACGTTCTTAAATTCTGAGGTCTGTAATTGCTTTAATTCATGCCAGTAACCTGCCTCACTGCTACAATCCTCATCTGAAATAATCATCTACAGCCCTGCCCCACCCTCAGGAGCAGCACCATCCCTGCTGGTTGTGGAACAGCCCCCAGGCACACGGGTGGGATGGGGAACATGAGCACACAGCTGTGCCTTTGCAGACTTGTCTGTCTTGGAAGACAGCACCTCCAGTAAAGCTTAAATAAAAAAAAGAAATCTGTGATCTCTCTTCTGCCGTATCCTCAAGACATTACCATTAAGGCAGGGCTGACCCACACTGAGGAGTGAATTTGACAAGGGAAGCAAACCTCCAAGGCAAGTCCCTTTCAGCACACCTCAGCGCTGCTGTGCCTCACATCCTTCCAGACTGAAAAGCCCCCCACAGTTGGAAATGCAGTCTTCTGCCAAAAAGCCCTGAATAAAGCAAAGGAAACTCCTTGAAAAGGTTTACAGCCTTCCCACAAGCTGTGCCAAAACCACTGCAAGTGTCTTTAAGGCAGTTTTCTGAAGTAAACTTAATGATTATTGACATTTTAAGACCATCATGTTTAAAAGTCGGCGAACTCCCTTTTCTGAAGCCTCCTATAATGTCAAATTAAACTAGAAGAAAATAGAGAACTGACTCAACTAATTTATTAGACAATTGTATTAATGTTAATCCCAAGTCTTTAACCAAGCAAATGTCCCTTCACCACCACAGCATGTGGATGTCTCTTGCAGGGTCCCAAGTGGCATTTTTCCAGTACTCCTGATGAAAACTCCTCATGCCACATCACACACGAGCAGTAATGAGCAGGTGAATGAAGGAGGGCAGGGACTCTGGGCTGGTAGGACACGCAGGCAGCGAGGACATGCATGTGGAGTTCATTATTGTTGTTTCAGTCTGCTCAAATTGAACACTTCCCTCCCACCTCCCTCCTTGCTTTAGTCACCGGGTGGTGCCAAGACCCCTAAAGGGGATGAATTGGGAACTCTGACCTCTGCTCTGATGCCTCCTGTTTCCTCCCCTCCCTTTTAGGTGCTGCCTGTGGTCATGGAAAGGAGCCACTACAAAAGGAATTTTCTAAAGCTTTCAGAGTGAGTGAAGCCCGCTGGCCTGGGAAGTGGTGCTCACATCAAAGCCCCCCCGTGCCAGAGCTGCACAGGGGACAGGAGGGGGTGGCTGCAGAATTCCACAACTCAGGAGCTGTGTTTGGCAGTGGGGGAGATGCTGGGGCTGCCCCCAGAGCTGGTACAGCCTGAAGGGTTTATTTCAGTCAGCAGCATCCTTAGTGCTGCCACGCTGAGCTAGCAGGGTGGCCAGAGCACAGATGGACACACGTGGAGTGATAAATGCACACCCACATTTCCCAGCTTTTCCAAGCAGCCTTATCCTCCCCGTTTTGCTCGGCACATTATTCACATACATATTTGCAAGTGCACAGAGCAGCAGTTACTTCTTCACCTTCCCTTACTCCTTTGCCTCACCAGAGGCACAATTACTACATGGAGGTCCCTGTAAGCCTCCTGCTACTGGGACTCCAGGCAAAGTTTCTTTAAGTTACACTTTTTTACAGTGCAATGAAGTGAGACATGGCTTTAAAAGGTGGCAAAGCTCGCAGGAGGACACGTCAGGTTCCTGCCATCCAGTGACATCTTCAACCATTTATACAACACAGAGAGCAAAATTCCGTGTCACAACCGCACAATAGCTGGAAAATTCCTAGTGCAGCACTAACTCAGGAGAATGCGGCCAGAATGAGAAAAATGCTCCAGAGATGATCTTGTAACAAAGCCACCCCCACCGAAAAGGCCGAGAAAGTGACAGATTTCCTTTGCTCATCATTGTTATTAGTACAACAGGGACAACACCACTGCTCCACCGCAACAGGTGAGTGGCACCACGGCTCCCACAAGCAGCCAGCAAAAACCACGGAGCAGCAGCTGGTGGCTTCAGGCTGCGACAGCATTTCAAATCAGAGCTGTTCTTCCCAGCCTGGGCTGCCCTCGGGGGGACACTGGGTCTGGAGCTCCTGCAACCCAACCTGGTGTTTTACAAGCCCGTTTACAACTGTTCTTTCCTCCCTTCGAGGGAGCCATGGCTGTTACACTGCACTGCAGCTTTTGCCGTACATTCCTGGCTGTAAGCTCCCTCTGGGCAGCTTAAAATGGGACCCCTGAGATAAATCACCTGACATTCTCTTGTAAAATCCGCTCTTGTAACTTTCCCCTCTGTTCATCCCAACGCCCCACCGAACACACGGGGAACGGCGGAGTTTAAACACATCAACGTAAATATTATCAGTTCGAGACGCATCATAGTAATCACTATCGCATTTACCATAATGATTCCCTGACTACCAAAGCGAATTTAGGCGCTGGTTCGCCCGGGATTTTATAAACACAAAGAACCCGCAACTTTAAAAAGAATGAGAGCGCAGCGAGCCGCGCTCCATGCGAGCAGCTCCCGGCAAGGCTGCGAGAGAGCCCGAGCACGTGTGTGCCCCCAGCCCCGCTGCTGCGGGGGATGCCCGGGCACCACCGCTCCCCGAGCCCCCGGCACCGACCCACGCGCGGCTGCCGGACCCGCTCCGCCCCGGGGCTGCGTGGGAAGCCAGGCTGGGAGCGGGGCCCTGCCCGCCCAGCCCCGCTGCCCTCGGGAGGCACAAAGGGGGGCTCGCACCCGAGCGCACCCCGCCTGCCGCCCCTGCGAGCGCGGGCTCCGCGCCCTCCTCGCCCGGCCCCGCCGTACCTGGATGGTCTGGTTGGGGTCCCCCCCGGCCACCGGGCCCCCCACCAGCTTGCAGTACAGATCCTCCACGGCGCGCCGGCTGCCGGAGCCCGCCGCCTCCTCGCCGCAGGTGGCGGTGGCGGAGATGCGGGTGCCCTCGGCCAGGTTGAAGTAGGGCGGGTGCAGGCTGTGCCCGTTCACATCGCTGGGGAAGGAGGCGGGCGGCCGGGCGGCGGCGGGCAGCAGCAGGAGCAAGAGGAGCAGGGGCAGCAGCAGGAGCAGGGGCCGCGCACCGCCCCGCTCCGCCGCCTTCGCCATCTTCGCTCGGCGGGGCCGGGCAGCGCTGCGGCACCGGCTCCGCTCCCCGGCTCCGCTCGGCTCTGCCCCTCTCCGCCGCCGCCGCGCTACTTCAGCCCCGGCTGCGGGGAGGGGCCGGGCAGCCCCGCCGCCCCGATTAACCCTTTGCCGCCCCGGGAACCCCCCGGGCCCGGCGGAGCGAGGGGAGGCCGGGGGGGGGTGAAGGGATCCCCCGGGAACAATGTGCCCATTGTGTCTGCGGGGCTGCGCTGCCGGCGGCGGCTCGCTGGGCTTTTAGTACGTTAAACTCCATTAACAGATAGATCGGGTTATCTGCAGGAAAAACTCTATTACTAATTAACAAAACAGGGGAAGGCTTGACCAAACCCAGTTGGCGCTCCTCGAGGTATGCTGTGGGTTCTCATTTAATTTGGGCAGTGAAAATTTTACTTCCACTTTCCCCGGAAAGGATGGCTTTGGGGAAATGACTTTACCTTCTCACCTAAGGGGGAAGGAAGCAGCTCAGCGATAACCCAACTTTCTCCCATCCCCTGGCTGCCCATGGACTATCCCTCCGCGGTGTGACACATGCACTGTCAGCTCTTTATATGCTGCTGGGGGAAAGACATTTTACAGATAAAAACCTGAATATAAATACAGAGCAGCACATCAATTAACTCATCAAACCACTGCTTTGATTTTCTGGCAAACACAGACTGTTTTAAAATCCAAGAATTAAATAATACGCACGAAATGTTGTGCCTGAACTGGACAAGACTGCATCTTTAAACTGGGACGTACCAGGAGACGGGGTCTGGACTCCAAACAGTTGGATTGCTGCGGTATTTGAACCCCACAGGAAGCAAAACAACCTCTAAAGTGTGCTCAGGTCTTCACAGGCTGCTGCGGGGCATTTGCTCTTTGCATCACATCATCCTCTTTCTTTCTTATTTTCCAGGACACCCTAGGAGGTACCAGTCCTCTTGAAAAAGCTACTGTCTTAAGTATGAAAAACTTTAAAAAGAAAAAACCAAAACCAAACTCAAAAAAACCCCTTGTGATGCGTGTGGCTCAAATATATAGCTCCACAAACTTTTACACAAAAGTTTGTGGCTCAAATATATACTCCACAAACACTCCATGTTTTTTTTACACGGCGTGTACCAGCCAGGCTCTGCAATTGCACTGATTTCAGCACCTTCGGGGGCTTTTGAAAGATCCCTCTTGCTGTATGTGGAGCACTCAGATATAAAGGGTATGTCATGGATCAAATCCATATATACACTTATATCAAATGGATGTAAGTGTATATATGGATTTATTGTCAGGTTTCCACAGGGTTCTGCAGGCACTGGGGCACTCGCAGCCCTCCAGCCAGGTGCTGCTCGGGAATGCTGGTGGGTCCGAGCATCGGGACGTGGAGGATTTGCCATTTTTGCCATTCCCTTACTGCCCTGAGCCATCGGGGGCATCCAGTGCCAGCTGTTTCCCGGGATCACATTGTCATGACATCAGGAGCTGTGAGCGCAGGGCGGTGAGAGGTGCCTGGTTCCACATGGCGAGGAAGCACTGAAGCACGGCCGCCAAACCCATTCAGTCAGAAAGATTTCCTAAAGCGCTTTCAGACATCTTTTAACCCCTTCCTTCTCGCCCGTCTCTTTGGAGACCTTTCCCCTGGTTTCTCCCACTTAGTGCAAGATCTTATCTCTAAGTGGATGAATGTATCCTTTAAAAGCTAAATAGAACCTTTAAAACCAAATTCTTATCAAGAGAACAGACAGTCTTTGCCCTTTAAACCGTGCTTGAAAATGAGTAGGTTCCGCTGGGAACAGCCACCTTTGAAAATACTCCTGCTCTGCAGTAATGGTTAACTAACGTGTTTATGTGGGGGAGACCAATACTCCACAGGACAGGAATTAAAACTTCCTTCAACTTTATCAAATACCGTATTTAATTAGCTACTTACGCCCCACAGCACCTGTAAATACGGAAAAAGAGTTAACAAGGAAAGCAGGGCACAGATTAGGAAAATAACTTTCTCCCACCCACCCCCACAAGAGTTTCAGGGCAAAACACTTGGGCCAGTCTAATATCTGTAATCCCTCTAGTGGTAATATAATTAATCTCCCTTCCAAAATGCAATTAAGGAAAGTGAAATCACAGATAGCACGTGGGTTTTGTGGCACGGACTCAAGAGCACCACGCAGAAAAAATGACCCTTCTGCAGTCTGAACTGGCCTCCTGTTGACTGCAGAGTCTTTCAAAGACACTTTGAAGACTGAAATCATATTTAGGCTACCTGTAACTGAGGGGATCTGAAGTTTTCCAAGAAGAAATGGAAATAATTTAAAGACGGAGCATTCTGAGGGTCTTTTTCCAGCAGAGGAAGAAAAAGACAGAGGGTTTCTAACATTGCTAAACATTCAATTTAGAGGTTAACCAAAAAGTTGAGGTTAACAACTTAAACTCCTTCCCTGATGCCATCTCTTTTCAGCCACACTCAAGGAAAAAAAAAAAATGTATTTACTAATTTGAACTGGACAGGAGTCCCATCTGGTCTAACATCTCACCTGAGAGTCACCAGCAGCAAACATTTCCAGTGAAAACCCCCATGGGTGGGCGAGGAATACTCTGCTCCCCGAAAAGATGTTGCCTGATTTGTAACAGCTAGAACTTAGCTTGAGTAGTGAAGCCCTTCTTCCATTTAAGAGCTTTTTCTAAGCATAAATTTCAACATCCCTGGACATTTGCCATTCCTTTACTGCTCTGATCTCTCTTTGAATTTTACTGGTTTCTTGAGCCTCGCACTGGCGCTTCTTGGCTCGGCTTCACAAAGCTGGTCACAGTGACATGCTCTCAAATAAGAGGTGCTGAAGCAGAAGAGACTTTTCATTTTAAAACCAAACTACGACCAGTGAATGCAGAGAGAACTGGAAAAAAAAGAATCCAGCCTGTAGCATTCCTGCTCCAATATTCTGTGAGCCTACATGTAGTAACACGACCTCAGCCGCGCTGTTATCCATCTGCACCCATCTGCTAAAGGCATCCGAGTTCCACTGAAGGTTTTACTTTTGCCTCCCTAAAAACTGCAGGACCATGAGGAGCTTGCCCAAAGCTGCCAGCAGAAACCACAAGCTCTTTCTTCAAGCAAGCTGTAGAGTGGCAGAAGGGGTTTGGGGCAGGGACAGGAAGAGCTTTAAAGAAATCTGAGAACAAATTCAATGTATGGGCTTCAAACAACTTATCTTGATGAGGGAACCCAGTTCCTAAATCTGAGTAAAGATTCTGCAAGTTACAAGTGAGAGTTTTCCTGTCTATCCAGAGCCTTTTAACCTCCAGCAGGAGCACAGGGAAGCATCCCACAGCCAGAAGTGAGTAATTCAGCAGTGACACAGACACATTCTGCTTCCTGAATAAATTCTCTGGTTTTGTCTTGTCTATCACACAGAGAAATGTAAGGAGTTCTCCTCACTCCAGGAAAAGGAACATATGGCCAATGGAGAAAGAGCCATTTCCTTGCAGTATTTCCTACCAAGGCACCACCACAGCCAGAGCCATCGCTGAGAGCAGGGCCTGAGCCAAGAGAAATAAGTGAGCACATGGTTCTTGTAGGGTGTAGGGTCAGGAAGACGTTATCTTAGGGAAGATTTAATCACTTTCCTGCTACCCTGCAGCAGGCTGTGTGAAGGAAGGTGTTTCCTGAGCTGTGCTCTGTGCTGACCCCAGAACTCCACACCATTTATTAGGGTGCTGTGCCTCGACTCAAGTGTGTCAGGAGCAGCTAGCAGGAGCTAAGAACTAATTCTGCATGAGCTGGAGTTGGACTAACACAAGCCAGAAGTATAATGAATATCCTTCAAGCACATCTCCAGCTTTATGATTTTAAATTCTCCACAGGCTCTACCTGAGGAGGTTGTAAAACAAACCCACAGAAGGCATCAGCAGGTCCCATGCAAGGTTTGCTGAGCTCACAGAGGCTCAGAAAGGAGCTCCCCTCCTGTTCACACAGACCCCCACACATGCACATACAGACAGTTCTGCAAACAGCCCCCGAACAGAGACCTAAAGTACATTTCCCCTGTTTGTTCTTCAAACTGACAGCTCAATTACAGCTTTTTAAAGCCTTCTGCATCGGGGGAGCAAGGGCACAGCTTGAATTCAGTGGGAAAGGACTAGAGAGTTTTGTTGAAGGCATGAGGAATTTGACCAGGATCTGCCTTGGTTTCTCAGACTGGTTCTTAGGAACATATAAAGCCAAAAGCCAGAGGGATGACCAAACTCATCACACTACCATCTGCTGTAGTCTGCTTTTTTGAAAGAATTCCTGGTGCTGGTTTTGCCATATTGACAGAAATAGTTAAGACTGGACAAACCAGACCAGACTGATAAGGTGATTCAATGGGAAGTAACTCTAGGAAAGACATAATTCTTTATATCTTTTTTGGAATTGAATTACACCATGTGAAAATACAAACCCCTAAAACTGCCAAGTACCAGGGAACGTTGGCAAGAACCACATTAGGATGCATCTGGAATGAACAGTTATTTTTCTTCTCTCGGTAGAATTACTTTAATGTGTTTTATCTTTGTTTCCTTTATAGTGTACCTCCTTTAACATTTATTCAAAATTGAAAAAGACTGTTTTGAGACAGAGCTGGTCAACTTGCCATGCCCAAGCAGCACCTTTTAGTTAAAACCAAAAGGAGCAGACATCTGTATTTTGTCTGCTGTGGACGTTTTCACGAAGAGATCAAGAAGATTCATAATGCAGCAGGACATGTTACTCTACACCAGAGAATTCAATTCCCTTTAAGGTCAGCCTGTACCTTCCTGGTAATCAAATGGTTCCAAAACCCTCCCAAAGCCAGAACAGGTGTTTCATTCATACTGTCTGTCTACCTGGCAAGGACCCAAATACTTTCTTTTAAAGCCTAAACTCTGTATTATTCTGGGGCACATGGAAAACAGACGTAAGTGCTGTCTCCTAGGCACGCTTCGGGCTGGGTCATCACTAGCTCCGTGTTTTTCTTTGCACAGCTCAAACAGGAACACAGCTGCTTTTA